GGTTGTGAGGGATTTGCAGCCTGGCTCGTACAGTAATGTTAGATGTGGCTGTGCTGGATGTTCTCCTCATGGACTCCAGGCGGTGAGGAATTTCTCCAGGTGCCAAGTGAGGAACGAGCAGACCTGCAGCAAGTTGGCCAACTGCAAGAGCTGCTCCCTTAACCTGAACTGCCAGTGGGACCATCAGCAGCAAGAGTGTCATATTGTCCCAGGTGAGCGTCCCTCATGTTGTTTTTCTGAGGCTCCCCCCACCATGGTTCTCCTGAAACTCCCCCGTGGTCCCCACCCCGCCCTCCCCAAGGTCCTTTAGCCTCTTTCTCTGTTCTTTGCTTTGAAATTCCGAAGTTACCCCTCTGGTCACCTGCAGCACTTTTACAGGGGAGTGGGAGGTGTGATGGGGGTCCCATGTGTTGTTCCATGTCCAGTCGGGCTTCTGCTGTGAGGCTGCACTGGCTGCCTGCTTCGTGTACCTTTTTGGGTCTTAGCTTTCGGCCCCTCTATTTGATGCTTTCTATTTGACACTCTCTCGAGTGCGCCCCCTGATGGTGCCTCTGTGCTCCACAGGGACTCACCTCTAAGTCGTGTCTGATGCGTGTAAGCGAGTCATCCCCGCACAGTCACCTCAAGGTATCAAGTAAAAGCCACCAGCGCTCATTTAATTCGGTCTCTCAAAGGGGCGCCACTGCCTCAGACTTCAGCATGAGCTAGCGCATAGTCCCGCTCGCCGCATTGCACACGCCGTAAACGACTCCCGCATCCTTGTGGAGATTGATGGCGTGTCTAGTGTGAGCTAAAAGCTGGGCTTAGTGAAAGGGGGGGGCACATGCCTGTGGTGTGGATGTGTCCTCCCCAGGATGAAGAAATGGAAAAAATCCCAGCCCAAGCAGAGACTCGTTTAAATACCTTTTTGCACAAAGTGAGATTTATCAGCGAATCAAACAAATAATGATTCCTGGCCCCAAGGCCACGGCGGGTCCCTAAGAGCTGAGATGACGGCGGTTGTGGGCCGGACTGGGCCGCATCCCCTTTGATCGATGGCCAGCCGTAAAATGGGCTTTGAACCTGCTGGGACTGCATGCGCAAGTGGCAGAGGGGGCGGGGCCAGCGCCTCAGTACAGCCAGGCTGAGTCACCTGTGCCCTGCCACGCCCGCAGCTCACCTCTGTGGTGATGGGTGGAGCCACGTGGGCGAAGCGTGCCTGCGCATCAACTCCAGCCGTGAGAGCTACGACAACGCACAGCACTACTGCAAGAATCTGGAGGGCAACATCGCCTCCCTCACCACCTCCAAGCAGGTGGACTTCGTGCTGGAGGAGCTGCAGAAGTACCAGCTGCAGGAGAAGGTGGGTCCACCGGGGTGATACTCCAGCGTTAAGCGGTGGGGGGAGGGGGGGCGCATTCGTTATCCAGCCAGTAATGGGGGGTGCGTCTGTTATCCAGGCATGATGGGGCAGGGGGGTGCATTTGCTATCCAG